GCGAAGAGCCCCAGTGTGAGCGGCCCCGAACCGCGCCCCCTGGCGGCGGAGCGCGCCCCTGCCGTCCCTGCCTCGCCGCCCGAGAGGGCGTTGGGACTCGCTCCTGGGGCGGCCGAGGAGGGGTTGCTGGGGGCGGGTTGCACACCCGGGGCAGGGTCTCTGGTCCGGCTCCACGGCCCAACTGCCCGAACTTCCCCGTGCGCCCCCCTTGCCCGCCGTCGGGCCTGGTCCACGCCCGGTCCACCGCCAAGTCCGCACGCGGACTGGGCGGGCTAAGTTGGGGGCGGGCTGCGTGGAAGGAGGGGTACCGGCCCAGCAGCTGCCGTCGTCTTCTCATCGGCCGCAAACTTTCACAAAGCGGCGTGTCCGGCCTCATCAATCTCCATTAATAATAGTTGGTTGGGCCGCGGGGGGCGGGCGGAGGGTCTCAGGCCGGAGGGCCGGCCAGGCCGCTGGGAACGGGCTCTGCGGAGGGAGCGGGAGCCGGGCGCGGCGGCGGCGGGCGGAGGGAGGAAGTGAAGCGTAATTTGAGGAAGATGGATGAGTCCGGAGGGCGACACCCCCAGCCCGCCCGCTCGCCCGCCCCCTCCCTCCTTATGAGAGAGGGGGAGCGCGGCGCCGAAGCCACACTGCGCCGATCCCGCGCCCCGCCGCCACCTCGGCCCGGGAGCCAGGGAGCGAGCCCTGCGTGTCCGCGCGGGGCGCCCGAGCCGCGGGGCGCACGGCGGTGCCCGAGGGGAGCGCCCCGGGGCGGCCGCAGCTCCGGGCACGATGCAGAGAGCTGGAGGCGGAGGCGCCCCCGGGGGCAGCGGTGGGGGCAGTGGGGGGGGCCCGGGCACTGCTTTCTCCATCGACTCCCTCATCGGGCCGCCACCGCCTCGCTCTGGCCACTTGCTCTACACCGGCTACCCCATGTTCATGCCCTACCGGCCTCTCGTACTGCCGCAGGCACTGGCCCCCGCGCCACTGCCTGCCGGCCTCCCGCCCCTCGCCCCGCTAGCCTCCTTTGCCGGCCGCCTTACCAACACCTTCTGTGCGGGGCTGGGCCAGGCCGTGCCCTCGATGGTAGCACTGACCACCGCACTGCCCAGTTTCGCGGAGCCGCCCGACGCCTTCTATGGGCCCCCGGAGCTCGCTGCTGCCGCTGCCGCCGCCCGCAACAACCCTGAGCCGGGCGGCCGACGCCCGGAGGGCGCGCTGGAAGCCGAGGAGCTGCTGCCTGCTCGGGAGAAAGTGGCAGAGCCCCCTCCGCCCCCGCCTTCGCACTTCTCAGAGACTTTCCCAAGTCTGCCGGGTAAGTGCTGGGGCCGACCGGGGGCGCCGGGCGGGAGGCCCATTCACCTGGAAATCCCAGACAGCAGCCTGCTCAGAATCTTGGCACCACCTGCCTGGAGCCCTAGAAACCCAGACCCCCAGACGACGGGTTCTGGGAACCACGTCTAATTCCACTCCAAACGTGGCACCTCTAGATCCTAGAACCGCAGTCCTGCTCTGCCTCCAGAGTGCCTGAAGCCTCACCAGACTTCCCAGTGCTCTCTTCCAAATTAGTGCCTTTCCTCCCAGCATTCTAGTCCTCAAGCCTCGGCTCCCACGGATCCTTTGCAGAATCCCTTCATTTTTCTCCACTGCAGGAATAGAGACCTGAAAGTGTGGGATTCTTGGGAATACCAGCAAAACCCCAGGGTGAGGGTACCTTTGGGCAACTGTCAGTTCAGTAAGGGGAGGGTATGTTCTGGTTTCTGAGAAGATTGTATTGACCTTAAATGCACTGGCATGCAGGGCAAAGGGAGGGCCTTAAAGTGGTAGTGACCGTCTTGGTGACCTGTCTTTCCCTTAGTAGTAAAGGTCACTTCTAAATTGGCAGATACAGAACTAATACTTAAAGAACCAAGTCGGGGGCCTATGGAAACATATGCTAGCAAGGGGCCTAGCACCTGCTGGACCAGGGCTGCCTGGGAGGCCAAGAGAGAGACTTAAGAGCTGGGTTGGGTGTGGCCCAAAGGTGTGGAGCTGAGAATCCAGCTGATTCTGGAACCAGTGAGATTTAGCTAAGAGGCAGTTCAGGAATCCTGGATCATCCGGGGGAGATGCCCTCTCAATAGAGGCAGGGTGTTTTAAACTGAAACCTGCTTTAGAATCAATCTGCTTAGAGCCCTACTGGCTTCCCTTTTGATCCTTAACGGTTAAAAGCTAAAAAAGCTTTTTCTTATCCAGGGGTACATCCAGGTGTGCAGTGATCCAGAGCTTGTACAATTTGATGGCCCTATATAAGAAAAACGGGTGCATGCAAGTGTGGGGTTCCAGAAGCTTCAGCTTCTTTAGCATCAGGGTGAATCTGCCTCTGTGTAACCATTTGTCTCAGCCAGCTTGGCAGTGGGGAGCGACCCCAGGAGCCAGGGGGCTGACTCTAGCAGAGACAGAAAGGAGGTCCAAGTGTTCTTTTGTCCTTTGCCAGGAGAGGGTAATTCCTGATAGGTTTCTGGGCTCTTCCTTGAAATTGTCTAGAGGTCTAATCATTGTTCCAGACCCCAAAAGTTGCTGCTATAGGGCCTGTCTTCCTCTTCTTTTCCCTTTTAGCCCTGGGCATTTGACTCTGGGGATTCAGTTTTTTGGGGGTTTTTTTTGTACCTGTTTGGACCAGGTACCTAGAAGATCCAGTGTCTGAAGTCTAAGCAGCAACTCCTAAGGGGGATGAAAAGGAAATGATAGAGCAGCAACTGGAAGATGGGAGAAGTCCAGAAGCTAAAAGGGCCCGGAGGGGGAGGGGGCGAGCAGCTGGCAGGATGAATGGGGGAAAAAAGGATCAGTAGGACTTTCAGAATAGGATAGCAAGGCAGGCCATCAGAGGCTTTGGAGGCAGTAGGAGCTGGAGGAAGAACCAGACACTTGAGAAGATGAGCTGAGGGGGAGGAAAGAGACAGATACGCATAGTGGAGGGAACTGAGGGGAGAATGTGACCGAACATAGGGCACAAGCAACTTGTCCTACTCTCTCAGGCTCCCCTTAGTTCTTATTTTGACCCATTTTGTATAATGGAGTCTCTTTTCTGAAGCAGATAGAGTATTGGCTATAAAACTAGACATTGAAAGAGACAGAGGGAGAGAGAGAAGAAGGGAAAGAAAGGGAGGAATAAGTAGAGGAAAAGAACAGAAGAGAATGATTGAGGAAAGAATAGAGAAAAGAGCCCACAAATGCACTGTACACACCTGTCTGAGAAAGAACAGGGCTGTCTTTCGGAAGAGTTATGTGCAAGGGATTTCTAGCCTGGGCTGCGTGAACAGGGAACAGTATCTCTGGACCAGGACTGTGTGTGTGTGTGGAAGAGCTCTGTCTTGAGAGGGTTGGGAGGTAACCATAAATACACTAGAGGCAAACAGGGAAGAGTTTCAACAGTAGGAGTTATTTTTTTTAAGGTTTTTAATCTTGGGAGTTATGAGAAACCATAATTTATATATATAGAATGATGAAGGAAAGATCTTCATCATCAGAAGCAAATGTTGGAAACAAAAAGAAGAGACTTGTGTTGTTCTTGGAGTAAAGACAGGACTTTTTTTTTTTTTTTTTTT